TCTTGAAAGCTTCTTTATCGTGCAAGTACCAAGGTTAGAGAAGAGTTATTAGTTAGAATACATGGGCGGATAAACGTCCTGAGGATCTAAGAAATGATTAATATCCGCGAAACCAAATCACCGTGACTAATTTGTAACTTGTAGTTGGGGAACCTCGCTTTATAGTACCATAACAGAAGTACAAGAAACTTCTGATGCCTTCGCAGATTTCCGCCATTGCAATCGAGTAAAACACGAGGCACTGTGCCACCCTCGACGTTACGAACTTTCATTTGTCCCACCCTAACCATTTCCTATCGGTCAAAACAATTTCGCAGTTTCTTAATAGACTTAATAAATCAACCGGCTGGAATATCGAATCGAACCTGAACTCTCCAGTGAAACGTCGATATATAAGAAAAAAAAAAGCCCGATCGTACCAATTGTATTTTAGAAAAAGTTTTCGATAGGTACGAGAAATCGTACATCATTTCCACCTCGCCACTGTCCCTTTATTAAAATTTTTATGAATTTACTTGAAATATACGATCATAATTTGCACGTAAATTCGCTCGAGGTGTTTGATATGGAAGAATCGGATATTGATATCGATTTTGTTCAAGAAAAATGAGAGTGCATTATTGTGAGAATGAGGATCTTTTGCAGGTAAAAAGTACTCGAAGGTGATTCTTGAAGGATAGAGCGTGAATTTTTCTCTATAAGTTTAATATTAGTTTTCATTCGAAAATATATGATATCTCGATTTTTGATTAATCATAACATAGATAAAGACACATGTATGTATTCTAAAGGATTGACTTCAGAAATGGAATAAAATTTATTTGAACAAATGCAGTACCTACTATAAAATGATATTTTGGAAATAAAACAGGTCGCTTGTAATTTTCATTAGAATTGACGACTATAGTCTCTATATATCGTTAAAACAAACCATTGCAATGCTTTATCTAAGATACATTAATTTATTTACACACGAGTACGTATATCTTCTCAAAGATGGAATGAAAGCTGGTAATAAGCAACTAATTTCTAAATTACATTTTACACAACACAATACGAATAGACTGCTACTTATTGAAAGAAACCACATAGCCATCATTTCTAAAAAATTGGAAATCGGACGATTTAAAAAATTACTTGCAGATACACCTGGCCGCTCGATCGGGTCGACGAATCTTACGATTTTTTCTTCGCGGTTCCGCGTACTTTTATTAACCCATTAATTTTTCCAGATCATTTCAGTGGGGAATTACAGCGGTTGGTTGGTACCATAACGCTATTAGATTGCCGCAAAAATATCTCCCGAGAAACAGTTCGTCGAGGAAGGTATTTTCCTAATCAGGAATACAGCTAATAAGGAAAATTGATGATTTAGGGAGCGAAGGAGAAAAATAATAAGAATAACTGTCGACGGGGGGTTACAATGAAATTAAGTCCCAGGAAATGGTTCAACCCTCTGGCAATGGTGCGAAATCTCGAAGGGTGGTCCTTTTCTTTTCCTTTTTCTTATTGCCAGTACCTTCAACCGACTGGCTTTCGTCGGTCTTGCGTAGGCAAAATGAAAAATGGCTCCTTATCGGCTACGGGACCTTGCGCAACTTTTCTTTCGAGTGGTCATATAAATTACAGACACCCGATAGAACCTCAAGTAACGGCATTAGGGTGGCAGGGACCCCCGATATCTTCAAACAGCTCGAATGAAAATAATGCGCTGCGGCTGTAGAATACTCGAAGCTATCGAGAGCTTCTTACAAGGTATTAAACCTTTCATTGATCGTAATCACGTTTCGCCAAGCCAGTAAATTATACGACGGTCAAATAATTTGAAACCTAAGACAAGAGAACAACGATCTCTATCATTAACAGAAGAATTTCAAAACATTAAGAAATATCCATCTTTCATCTTTTCTAATATACTGTTAGATTCTGTGTGATAGAACAAGTTGCGACACCTTACAATTGTTCGCAAGTATATGTATACACATACATATATAGATGCATGGTTGGGAAAATTATGTGGAAAGTACCGGGGAAAAGAGATGGCGTGGAAGGGGCTAGGGGAAAGGTTCCGAATGATTAAGGTTGAGGATTTTGATTATTCGTCGTGACGCGTTGTTGTTTACATAGACGTAGAAATAAGTGTTTGTTGCTAGTGACATGGCGATGACTTAATTCCAGCTTGTCTCGACAAGCTGGCATCCAACAATGTCATATAATTTATAGAATATCTAATTTCTTTTCATAGAATTGAACGAACAATATGATGAATAATACGTTCTAATAGCGAGAAGCTGGATTCACAACATATCGAATTTGAATTCCAAAATCTAACACGATGAATGTTTTATTTTCAGAAATCGAATTAACTAGAATAAAAATTAAAGATGCTAAAATATTCGTTTGCTTTCTTGAAAAAATACGCGACCAAGGGTCGTTCTTGTCATAGGCTTCTCGATTAATTATTTTCATAATTAAAGCAAATTTTTTCTAATTAGAAAGTGATATTCAGATTAAATTATTAATCTTCGCCGATATCCAGGAACGTAATATGCTTTGCCAAGCTGGTTCATAATTAATAATGAATGACAAACACAAGCGGAAACTTGATCAGAAACTATTAACCGCCCCAAAAACGGTCAAACCCTCTGGGAAGGAAAGAAATTGGCATTGTGCAGAACCTCGAATAGGCGTATTCCGTTCTAAATTGGATCCTTCGAATCTTGTCCTTCGCTTTTATTTCGAAGTATTGTTCTTCCAATCTTCCCGTTCGGCCAACCATTTGAAGGAAGCGAATCGCAGTCCACGAGCTTGGAACACATCGAGGAGATAACGATTGAAAGCTTAATTCAATTACCTTTCAATTCGCTTTAATTAGTTCTGGTGCGGAAGTAACGGATTGAGGAACCTCCGCTTGTTATTACTGCAAATTGTTTGCCGATATGATTGGATTCTATTTCCGCTTACTTATTTCATCATATACTAGAATTCTTTTAAGAAAGAAAATTGTCCTGTTCTTGTCTACTTCGGTGGAAAATATCAGTGGTATTAAGATCGTGTTAGCGTAATGTTGACGATGCTCGAAAATTATTTATTATTACGTTTGAAAATAAGAATGAAGAGAATAGAGTTAAACGAATAGAATAGAGTAAAACAAATTCATATAATCCATACACACTCCAAACTACAGAAAATACCTAATATAATTCTTGAGTTCGTAGGTAACTAGATTTCATATTTCAAGGCTAGAAAAACAATTCCGTAACATAAAAAATTGAAGGAAATTATTCATAATTTCCCATTATTAAAAAATTCATGTAATAGCTTTTCTGTGTCGATACATGATTAAAAAATAGTTTATAATTTAATAGAAAAGTTGCTTAAGATATTGAAATGTAGTTACTATGTACTTAACAGTAGTATGTTCTGTTCATATCTCGAGTGTGATTTACGACGTAAGATCGCAAACTCTGGAAACGTAGACTTACTTTAAATAAATTGCATTTTAAGGAGAAGCGTTGCGACACCTGTACAAATCATTTTGAAAGATCGTTAAATGCTTTTTATTTCAGAGAATTACCAGTTGAATGATTCGTCGGAAAGAAAGCGGAATTTTTCAAGCTTAAGGTGAACAGGACGATATACGTGTGAAAGTATTTTACCAAGATTCCAGCCCCATTGGAACAATCTATCCGGTTATTTCGCTATAGGATTGATCGGATACAATTTATCTTAAATTTTATTCGAATAGATTTTCTCGCACGCTATTTTAGGAATGCGTTATATGGTTTCATAAAACGTTCATGATATGCAATTGTCCATTATCATATTACGATCTAGATGTCTATTTCTGTTTAAAACAAAATCTTTTCCATTAACTTAAAATAGTTTCCCATTAGTATAAAGTGAAAATCATTTTTTAGTTACATACAATAAGTACAATTCTATGGATGATATTACAATAATATCAACAATGTATCAATAATAACGTAGATAAGGGACTTATGAGCGTGGTCATGTGAAACGTATATATCGTGTGACTTTAGTTCTAGAGTTCGACTATAGATTGCCTGATATGCCTTTTCTTTTCTCACTAGTGGTATCTATATTCATCTTTTACTATATAAACAGACCTTTAAGGGTACTCTTCAATAGGAAATGACGAAACACATTGCCTGATTGTACAGTGACTGAATATAATCCTTGCATGGACGTAATTCTGATCCTTTCTACTTAATTTCAATTTTTTATTTTTATTGAAATTCAATGATATTATACATTCATATTTCGAATATGTTTTCTAATTTTCTTATATCTGTATTTGGTTGTCATACTTTTAACATGTTGAAGCCAAAAAATATTATATACATGTTCAACTTTATTAAATAATAGTAGTAAATAACTTTCATAATTGGTAAAAAATGTTAGTATAGAAATATTTTTTATTGAGTACTATTTCTAATAGCATATCTATTTATTTTCTATAAAAGAAAAACATAAATAGACAGGTAATAACACTAATGGTAAAAAATTTTGAATAATAATAATAAACATACGGATTAAATATTTCTAAAAGCTATGTAGGAGAGAGGAAATTTCCTCTCTGATAGTATGTAGTGCTGTTTGAAGTATTGTGGAAATATAAAATTCTATACTTTATTGCGATTATTCGATCATTAAATATGCTATTCTACATTTTACTCATTATATCATACGGAATTTCATAAAAGACTTTTCATTCAAACTATCACAAGCGAGATCTCGTCTATGCTAGTATTATACAGAGTCGATAACGTCACATGTGACATGAAAATGATGACCTCAAAAACGTGGGACACAAAAAAGCATTAAGCATCAGATCCGTGATGTACCATCTACTCTGTAGCTCATCGGTAGTTACGTTACGTTAGATTTTCAAACATAATAAATGCAGCGTGGGGAAATAGTATGTCAGTTATACACCAGATGGCAATCCATGTATGATGTTATTTTTATCTATAGAGTCCTCATTCTGATTTACTTACTTAATGTGGTCAACTACGAGAAGATCGTGTAGGATCGATGGACCCCGTTAATTTTCGCGTCTAATTTCAGTTCCGGGAAAGAAATAGAAGATGTCCGTTGTAAGTTCAGTGTAGATAAGTAAGAGCAAGGTTAAAAAAAGATGGAAGTGACTTCTTTGAGTGAGTAATCGTAAAAAATAAACATTATACTGTCGGCTTTTATGATGATTGAGTGTGGGATTATTTATAATTATTACATTTATAATTATATTTATGATATTGTAGTTTCTCTATAATTAATTTGTAATATGAAGATTCTATACACGAACACGTTGTTTATTTAAAATTAAACGTATGAAAATGTGAACAGTTATCAGGAAAAGATTAAATTAGAGCATAAAACAAAATTTGTCTTTCTCACGTGACGTGCTATTGTTGCTGCATAGATTTTGATAAAATTTTGTAACTACTTTATGAAATTGTAGTATTACATATGTAACTTATAAACTTTTGGTGGAAACGTTTTATATAATATTGTGTTTTTTATATCTCTTGATAACTAATATGATTGTTTGAAAGTAATCTACAGCTTTTTAGGTTATGATGTTTTGTATGATTTGGAGTGGATATAGTAAATTTCAGCGTTTATTGAGATGTAATTGGCGCAATAAACAAAATGCTGAAGATGGAATTATTGTGAATTCGTGGTAGAAAATATAATATTTTTAACAAAATGCATTGCAATCGCAAGAATTCAGCAGTATCCAGCAATGTAAGCGTCAATCACAGTGTGCAAGAAAGAAATCAAAGTAATGTACAGTATTACAATAACACTATCATAATGATATTATAACATAGTAATATTATGGAAACAATGGATATATATATATATATATATATATATATATATATATATATATATATATATATATATATATATATATATATATATATATATATATATATATATATATATATATATATATATATATATATATATATATATATATATATATATATATATATATATATATATATATATATATATATATATATATATATATATATATATATATATATATATATATATATATATATATATATATATATATATATATATATATATATATATATATATATATATATATATATATATATATATATATATATATATATATATATATATATATATATATATATATATATATATATATATATATATATATATATATATATATATATATATATATATATATATATATATATATATATATATATATATATATATATATATATATATATATATATATATATATATATATATATATATATATATATATATATATATATATATATATATATATATATATAGCTGATATATATATATATATATATATCCATGAAAAATTTAACAACCAATCTCTCAATATAATACTATTTATCTATATATATATCCATAAAAAATTTAACAATCAATCTCTCAATATAATACTATTTATCTATTTTTGTATAACTGTGTATTTCTAAAATATCATTGCAAATAATAAACTCTATTAATCGAATTTAATATATTAGGCAATATACTATATGTCATCTATATAAAAGGGAGATATATAGTTATTTTAGAGTTATATAAGGTTAGACTTAGATAATTATCTATAAATAATATGAACGTCATACTGATATAGCGTAGCTAAAATAATGAAAATATGAATATTATAATTTTTGATTCAATTTAATTTATATATTTGCAGGAACTGAAAATATAAGTTTAATGTTTTATATTAATATGACTTTCTTCACTTCATAGCCTGATCCATTTCCTACTATAAGTAATTAAAAATATTTAAATAGTAACTATGAATAAAATATTTTTCAATACTATGCTTATCCGAAATATGTTGACGTTGTATTATATGTAATTTTATTTTTTGTTTATATATATGCATCATTAGGTATTGCTAATTATCTTTATTCTCAAAATATCAAACTAATCACAAATAGATACTTTGGTTATACAATCTGTATATTTCAAAATTTAAGCAAGAAAGATTGTTATTATTGCGAAAGGATATTTTTATTTTAAACATGTTTTCTTGCATGGATATAAGTTTATTAAGTATATTTAGATAAGAAGAAAAGATTACATCTATTAAGTGTATCGTTAAAGCATTTAAGTGATTAATATAACTATAGAGCTATTACTTTCAATGTGATTCTTATCTTTTTTTATTAAATTGTTTCAATAATTCATGTAATTTATTTTGTATTACATTTTTGAATGACTTTTTATTTATTATCTGAGTTAAATTTCGATATTCTTCAAATTAATATTATATATATAATGTATATTTATAAATTTTCTCCAATGATAATGATCAAGTCAGATCAGTGCCTGCTATTACTTTATCTTTAGTTGGAATTATTTGAAATGAAAAAATTCTCGAGTATTTACTTTTCTAAATGTTGAATGTTATTTTCTAAGTATATGTAGCGTGCAAACAAAATCTTTGTATGAAAATGAAAATATAGTTTATACATATATATATTTCACAATTTGAAAATTTGCGTTACCTTTTTTCTCGGAGAAATCCCGCGCTTCTCTATTACATCTGGTTGCAATGTTGAATTCATTTTATAACGTCGCATCATGAATTTCGTCACAATTATTTATGCATAGTACTATTTTGCATAGAACATTATAAAAATAACATAGTGTAGTGATTAATTACTTATTTATTACACTAATTTAACAATAACTATCGCACTGTGACGCGGACCAATGCGTTAGATTTGAAAATCCTAAAAGCACTACATGCTACCAACCTTTGATCACTGAAGACGTCCTTTCCGTATATCAGCGCGAAATTGAATTACTACTATGTTTCAAATTAATATATTTTTCTAGTTTTATTCTTAAATTTAATATATACATGTAATAATTTATCATAAATGAAAAAGATGCATCGTTGTTGTTATACTTGATTAATATTTATTATAATGTAATAATAAATGTTATCAATAATTAATAATGATTCTATAAATAATTCTAAAAATTCCTTTCTCAATCATCACGAATATATATGAAGTAGGATATAAACAAAGTAACTAAAATCAATGCAATGTTTGATACAAGTAAAGTTTCGAAAATTTTTACAGATTTTCAAGAAGTCCTTGTGGAATTGGACGAAGTTATAAAAAGTGCAACATTCCTTGCCATTGATGGTGAATTTACAGGACTGAATTCAGGGCCTGATGCTGGTGCCTTTGACACACCTGCTCAGTATTATGCAAATTTGAGATCGGGATCAATGGATTTTCTTCTAATACAATTTGGCCTTTCTGTATTTACATTCAATACACAAACTCAAAAGTACGAAGTTGATCTTAATAAACACTTTTGCAATTTTAACTGAATAAAATGTTTTCAAATTAAAATTTCATGCATTAATATTTTACTAAATAGATAAATATATGGCATATATATAATAGATTTTTGTAAATACCTATTATTTTTCAAGTACTAAATATTCTTGCTAATTTGAAAATTTATTAAAGTAATTTTTTATTCAGTTAAGTTAATAATCCAGTTAATAAGTATCAACATTTTCGGCAGCTATAATATTAATTTACTATTATAAACTGATTGTATGTCTGATTGCTTATTAACAGGGTGTTCGTATCTATATATATTTCCAGATTTGTGTTAATATAATCGTTCTTTTTTTGTAGGTACAATCAACGATCATACAATTTTTACGTTTTTCCGCGCCCCCTAAATCGTACAGCTCCGGATTTGAGATTCATGTGTCAGACATCCAGTATGTCGTTTTTAGCATCGCAAGAATTCGACTTCAATAAACTTTTCAAATTAGGCATTCCTTACTTAACAGCAAGCGAAGAAGAAAAATTGATCAAACGATTGGAGGAGAAGCAAAAGATAAGGGATGAAACATTAGAGATTTTGCCTATTACGGATGTTGAGAGGCCTCAGATCGAAGATATTTGGTAAAAATAATTTTAGTTTTAAACAACGTTTCTCCATCATTAATATAAACGAAATTTAATTGAAAACCATTTTAGTAGAAAGATGGATGAATTCATCACTTCTGAAGAAGAAGAACTAGTGATTGATAAGTGTAGTGCTTTTATTAGACGACTAGTTTATCAGGAAGCAAAGCTGAGGTGGCCAAATAAATTGAGGATTGAAAGTAAAATGGAGAATTTTGGATGTAATCTCGTTGTACAAAGATTAGGAACTAAAGAAGAAGAAGAACAAAGGGAGATTGAAAAAAGAGAGAAAGAAAGAGAAGAAATTCAACATGCAGTTGGATTAAGTATACTCATGAGAAAAATTTCAGATTCTGTGCGTTTTGTTAATCGTGTTTAATTTATCAAGTAAGTGAGGTGTAATCTATAATGATACATATTTTTATTTCAGGGAAAGTTATTAGTTGGTCATAATATGTTACTAGATCTCTGTCATATAATACATCAATTTTTTGGATATTTGCCAGAATCATATTTGGAATTTAAGTCTCTTCTTCATGGTCTATTTCCAAGGTAAGAGTTTCCTACGTTTTTTCTGAACATTACTGTTATATTTTAATAAATATGATTATTATATGATATTTTTTTTATAGAATTTTAGATACAAAAATAATTTGCCATTCGCAGCAATTCAAGGAAAATGTACCATCGTCGAATTTAGGTATATTGCTAGAAACAGTTAGTAAATCACCGTTTAAAATTACAGAAGTGGAACCTATCGATGGCAGAAGTTATTCAACGCTGACAGAAAAATGTCACGAGGCCGGTTACGATGCATATATAACTGGAATATGTTTCATTGCATTGTCTAATTATCTTGGTTAGTAACTGACATGATTTTATCCTAAGAACATGATCTGTAAACTTTTTTCGCTAGGAATATTCCTTTTCAGGTTCCTTACAAAACCCCGAAGTGCCGATAGTTTTATCGGATTCATCATTACTCGACCCTTTTCTAAACAAGTAGGTGTTATTACATTTAATATCATTTATCATGTCTATTATAGTGTTTAATTTATTATTTTGTTATAGACTCCTCATAGCAAGATTGAAAGATATTCCGTACATAAACCTTGTCGGAGAAGATCGTAAGTAAATCTTACCTTTTTATTCATATATTTTAAGGTGAATCTTATGTTAATAATATATGTTTTCTTTGTCAGCTAATCCAAATAGAGATCATATATTACATATAACATTCCCAAAAGAGTGGAGGTTTAATGATATATCTCAATTGTTTAGTCCGTTTGGTAAGTATACAGTTACAAAATTCTTTCATTTATTAGATAATCCGCACCAACATTTATGTTATTATTTTAATGTAATTGATATAACTATTACAGGAGGTGTGCATGTGTCATGGTTAAATGACACGTCTGCATATATAGGACTACACCGTCGAGATCAAGTTAACGCAGTAATGAAAATTCTAGGTAAAACGAATACCTATAAGATTCAAAGGTATGCTGATTATCAAGCTTCTCTAGGGGTGACCGTTGGCGCAGGAGATCGTAAACGGAAATTATCCTCGTATGAGTAAGCATAATTACAATGAATACACATATATTTTTAGTTTGGAATCAAACGATTTATTCTTAATGAAACATTCTTACATCACAGGTTTCTTAACTTTAAACAACCCTTGAATAACCTTTAACATATTCACTACCAGCATCACACTATCACCACATCTGTGATATTCAGATTTTATTTTTCAAGTTTATATACAGGTTGTTAACGCTATTAGTACCCAGTATTCTTCTCGTAAATGATAAATATGAGGAAAAAATGAAAGAGAAAAAAGACGAATGGTTATAAATCAACTACATATTCACGATAATATCTCTTTATGAAAAACAAGGAAAGATGAAATGGAATACCCTTGTATCTATGTTTTCTTTGTCTTACATATGATAAATTCTACAAAATTAAAGTTAAAATATTTTTGAGTTTAATCAGTGTCCGGCCATGTCACTCTATTTATCTTTTTTTCGTAGAATGACAAAAGGATTCGATTTATGCAAACAAAAGGGAAGCCTTTCATTAAAAGAAAAACTAGTGCAGCTGCAAAATGAACATGCATTTTTCTACTTGCAAAAAAGGTATTATCGTGAATACGTATTTCATTTACAACCATTCATCTTCTTTCTCTTTCATTTTTTCCTCGTACTTATCGTTTACCGTCTGAGAAAAACATTGGCCAAACTACTAATAGCGTGAACAGCCTGTATATGATTGTATGTATGTGTAGTAATAATTCAAAAAACAGAACATAGTATCCGGTAAACGTATTGCTTTAATTCAGTATAATGGCAAACGTGTTAACTATCTCCTCTACACCACCTATGAATCTTATATAAATGAAACTTTTCCCCAATTTTGAACAATTAAGGCAACATATTATGCAGATGTAATGTTGCATTATGTCGTGCCTCTTGATATAAAATTACCAAGTTTCCCTCGTTAATTTCTCAGCTTCTCGATAGTTACGACTGTTTTTTTCTCTTGGCTCGTTGATTTATTGCTTTTCGATCATGCATTTCGCTCAATCGCCGTAATTTCTATCGACTAATTTTATTGCTTGTCGCGAACATCTACAGCGGTATCTTCGATGAATGAGCATAATGATGGTAACGAGTGGCGGCACATAGCTCAGTCCATCATAGTCATAAGTTATCTTAGCCAAGGATGATACTGTTGATATCGCGGGATGCGGGATATTAAACGCTGGCAAGAGGTAGCGTTTCATAGTTTAAAAGAAGGAAGTTAACGCGTTATAGGAGAGTGCGGAATGAGTTGCGCGTGTGCACAATAATAATTTCAAGCGAGCATCGCCGCAAAGCGGACAGAAGGGGTGTGGATGAGCAGAGGGAGACAACGTTTCAAGCTATAGTCGACTTCTGAGAATTTCCTGTACACGAAAGATTTGCATAGGGTCGTAGAGCTCATTTTAAATTAATGCCAGCGACGCTTGTTACACGCGTGTCTTGACTTCCTCTTTCTCCTGCTTCCCATGCCGCCTGTACTCTTCTTCTCTCTCTTGTGCTTGGTTCGTTCGATGCTTCTTCTTTCTTCGTCCACTCTTTTGCCACTTCGTTCCTTCTCGTGATCATCATGATGCTAAAGTCGCCAGTAAATCAGAGTTCCTCGCCCTTGCCGACGGAACTTATCGGATGCGCCGATCGAGTATCGATCTGGCGAGTATCAATAAATTGATCGATGCGTATTGAAAAATGACTTCTAAGCTATGATTAATGAACCTACAAGATTTACGAATGAAATCGAAAGAGGGAATTAATGTTGTTTCATATAATGTTAGACACAAGTACTTTAGCAAGTAGTAACTTGGACTTTCTTAATTATATGTTTTAGATGGGTATGTTGTAAATTATTCCAGGAGGAAACTTGTTATTATATGGTTGAAAAATTATATGTCAACTTTGACTTTTTGACGATGTTGTAGGAGTTGGACAGAGTGGAAGAAAATTATGTCTTTTCTTTTACCTTCATATTACCCTACACATTTTAAGATGTATTTAACGAAATTGGTTATTAGCTAATGTTATGCAGTTCTAAATAGATAAAACGGATATATATATATATAATTCTCTTAATCAATACAATTATTATTATACCGCAAGTTGGAAAATGGTTACAATTTGGTCGATTAATCAAAGATAATATCCTTATTTATTATTAATTTTTATTTAAAAATGTACTTAATATTGATATTTTTGCAAGAAGAGATTTGAAAAAAAATAAAGTCCTTCATCGTGTCTTTCTACAAAATAAGCAATTTTTATATTCAGTGGATTAACTAGAAACCTTATATCTCAAATGTAGTACTGTCAAGATATTCCATGTAATATTCAAAACGATTGATTACTCATATATAGATACATAATACTTTATAATTTATAAAATAATAAGCCAAATCTAATTTAGTTTTCCCAAAGCTTTTGTGAAATCCCTCGTGTGAAAGTAGGAAAGGAAATGGAGAGAATATTTTTCTTTTTTTATTGTTTGTTTGAGGTCACACTCACCTCTTATGGTTATTAGTGACCAAGTTGAGAATGATCAGTGGAACAAAACCTATCCGTATTAAATTGTACTATATAAACCGATATGTTTAAGAAAATTTAGAGAATTGAGAATTTAGAGAAAATTTAGAGAAAATTTGGAATGAAAAGACAGCTTGAAACCGCCCGTAGAGTCGAATCGCGGCGACATATAATACCCTGCCCGATCGCGACTATTACGAGTACAAACGAGCCGCATTGCACACGTGCGAATAAAAGCAAAAGTATGCTGGTATTAGGGTCTTGATTAGAATAATGTAACACGCTTCGAATAACGTGTCGTGTCGCTCGACGAGGACGCGACCGCAATGCAAATGCACGCGTATGAATCAGTTACATCTGACACGTGGACAGCTACTGCGGATGGATTCTCAAATTGGAATCGGAGGATACACTTCTTTACTAAAAAAAAAAAAAAAAAAAAAAAAAAAAATTTTTTTTTTTTTTTTTTTTTTTTTTTTTTTTTTTTTTTTTTTTTTTTTTTTTTTTTTTTTTTTTTTTTTTTTTTTTTTTTTTTTAAACAGACGCAAGATTAGGGGGTATGAATATCGATTTGCTTGTACGAGTATTCAAGTGGAAGGTTTAATAATAAAGACTATGATTTACACCTGTACACGATTTTCTTATTGCGTACAAATTATTACACTGTACTAATCGTAACGATTTCTTAACATCTGTTGTTTCTAATCGTTTATTAAAAAAGAGAATAATTGTGTGTTCATCCCGAATAGAAAAATTATCATTTTTAAGATCGTTCCGCGTAACTGTTATCTTTTCAAAAAAAAAAAAAAAAAAAAAAAGAAAATGCTACATATGTGCTCGCAATCAAACTAGTTCGTTGGTGAGTATCCTGTACCAGTTTCTTCTGTTCATTTTACCGTTTAGTTACTATGCTGTTGAATTATCAACATTATTATACGTCGCACGAAATGATTAAAGATACTCATTCGTTCGACAGCTATGTACATAATTAATGCAACACAAAATGTTAAGTATGTATTTAGTTAGGTACAAGAATTCAGGACGCGAGACTTTGATGATCTATAAGAAATTTGAAAGATTTTATGTTCTCTAGGAGAAGACATAACAGCTACTAATGATAACTAGACTGCGGATGTTCGTGTATTTATAGCACATTTAAACGTGCAAAAATGTATATACAAACTATCCACGGTAAAGTGCGTAATCTATAATTTAATATTTCAGGAGTGAAACATATCTCTAGAGATCCTTCATTTCCTTGCATTCATAAAAATCTGAATTTGTCAAGCTAAGGAAATTTTACGAAATTTCTAACGATAATTACTACCTCTGTTGAATCGCTGTACATTTTTGTTCACTTTCTTTTTGACTTGTTCTACCTTGACCATAGGCATTTTTTATCGAACCAAACGGCCCATTGATAAACAATATTTTGGATTCTGTAGGTTGGTCAGAAACTTCTTAAATTAACATCGTTATTCTATAAGCAAGGTTAATTAATTAATTAATTCTATTCATTTACAGTATCTTCATAAATTCAAATTTAGTTAATTCTTTATACTCCTCGTTATCAATAAATACTTAACATCGATCATGTCTAGTAAGTTTAGTTCCTACTGTATCCAAGTTTCATCGAGCATAACTCGTTAAAAATTACAATTTCTAAGCCCAAGTATTTATATAAGTACTTAAAAATTCACCCTGAAAAATAAACCATCTCCCTGCGCACAAGTTACAGGAATTTAATTCCATTCGAAATCACTTTCCTCGTTACAATCCCAGGACGGCACGCGAACATTTATTCTCCCCCGAGCGACAAGAACATTGTACTCCCGTAATTGCTTAATTACCCTCGCCATGCGTCATTCGCGTTTACCCGAATGTACCGCGCCGTGCTAAATGCACGGCTATTAGAATCGCAAATACGCCGTGGCCGCGGCGTATTATCGCGGTATTTATTTGCCAACTATAAATAAGAACGCCAGCAGATACAGCGACAATTTATAATGGTCAACGTGTGGCCCGGTAATAGCCGTATAAATTACAATTTGAGTTGAACACCGGCGCGCCGTTTTTTCTTTCTCAGTGGATCTCGCTTTCTTAAAACGCCATTTAAATCATATCGATCGGAAAAGTCGTGGCCTCAACACACACATACGCACTCGTCTGATTTCTTTGCGTTCTCCGACGTGGTTGCTCGGATCCGGTCGGAAAATTCTTCGCGACTTTAATCCTTCATTTTTTCATTCCCCCTCCGCGTCTGCTTTATGATTCGCCGAAGTACATAATGAACACGCCGTAGCCGGACGCACGTGTATCTCTTACCTAGTCTTGGGCATGAGTGCGCGTGTGCGTGTGCATGTGCGTGTTCGGTACTCTGGCATGCCCCATAAGCATATATCACTTGGCGGTACCAATGCATCACTCCGCAAACGCGCGCCAACACCATCGCGGACTGCTTCTGTGTCGCATGCG